GGGGATTGAACTCAGGTGCACTCTACCACTGAGCTACATCCCCAGTACTTTTCACATTTTAGTTTGAGACAGGATCTTGCTAAGTTGACTAGGCTGGTCTTGAACTTGGGATCCTCCWGCTTCAGACTCGTGAGTAGCTAAGGTGACAAGAGTGTACCACTACACCTGACTTGAGTATCTTGAGTAAAAATCTAAAGATATGGGGGCTGGGGTTGTGGCTCAGGGGTAAAACGCTCACCTAGCATGTGCAAGGCCCTGGGTTCGATCCTCAGCACCACATAAAGATAAATAAAATAAAGGTATTATGTCCAAATACAACTATAAAATAAATATTTTTAAAAAAACTAAAGATATGGAGGGAGAGTGCTCTAGGCAGAGGAATCGTAAGTGCAAAGGCCCTGAGGTGGGAATGTGCCTGTGTCCAAGGCATCGCAAGGAGGTTGAGTGGAGAACAGAAGGCAGAGGGTGGAGATGAAGCGGTGAGGTGAGGAGAGGAGGCAGGGTGGGGTGGGGATTGTAAATGGGTCTTTCTCCCGCTGAGTGAGTGTGGCTTTGCCCACAGCTGAGGGCAGGATATGAGAGTGTGTGTTTCTCCTGGTGGAGCATGAATTCCATGAGGGTGGGGACCTGGTCTGGGTGCTGTCACCAGATCTGTGTGACTCAGCCTTGGTGCTATCATTTGGTGAATCAGTGAGGTTACCTGAGGCCAGGGAGTGTGCTAATGGCAGGTTAGAGCAGCACAGAACAGCCAGTTTGGGTCCTGAGGTCAGTCCGCTGATGGGCGTCCTTACTCTGCCCCTCACTGCTCGGTGGTGAGCAGCCCCTCTCTTTTCTCCTAAGGGGAAAACTTCCCTCACAAGTTTTGCACAGTCTGCCTGGCACAGGTCGATGGAAGCCCAATACAGGTTAGTCTTTATAATTATTTCCCCAAACCTTATTATTGATCATGAAATTGGCAATAGGATCCTCAAGTTTATCTGAGGCCATGAGCCTGAAAGCAGTGCAGCTTCTTGCCCAAGACACCGCTGGTGAGCTGTGACCCAGCCACGCAGACCTTCCCAAGATGAAGCTCCCTGCTGCCTTTCAAGGCGGGTGAATGGGCACAGGGGAACGTGGCCCTGTCCGCCTCTCACTCACTGTTGGATTATGGTTAGGACCTGAGTCTGRGATCTTTTACAGAGACCCAAAAGATGGAGGCTTAGCAAGATGGTGCCATCTTCTTTCACAGGAAAGTCTGAGTTGAGGGGAATCAGAGCTGGTGCTCCAGGAGATCACCCAGCGACCCGGGCTCCTTCCCTTTATTATTGCCCATGGAAGCGGGCTTCTACCACTGGGTTCTTGGGAAGAAAAAGGGCAGGTGGGGAGCACAACCTGACCTAGGGCTTGGGGGTGTGGCTCCATGGTAGAGCGCTCGCCTATCATGKTCAAGGCCCTGGGCTCTATTTCAGCRACTCAGGAGGCTGAGGCATGGGTTTGCAAGTTCTAGGCCAGGCTTGGCAAGTTAGGGAGACTGACTCAAAAATTTAAAAAGCCGGGGATGCAGCTCAGTGGTGGAGCACCCTTGGTTCAATCCTGATGACCAGGAAGGCAGATGTACCCACGTGCTCACAACCCATTGGCCAGGACTGACAGATGGTTACATCTAACTGCAAGGGAAGCTGGGAAATATCATTCCTAGCTGGGCAGCTGTGCCCAGGAAGAACCTGGGGGCTTCTGTTACTGAAATAAAGGAGAAAATGGATGTGGGGGTCCCATCTCTGTTGTCACTCCTGTTTGTGGCGTTAGTGGCAGTGAGTGCCCCTTTCTCCCTTGCTCTGCCGACTTCAGGTTTACAAATGGTGCCAGCTGGGGAGGTGGATGAAACAGGTGTGAGGTCCAAAGACAAAAAAGGCCAGCCAGCCTTCTGCTGTTTGGAACGTGCCAGCTCCTCACCACTCAGTTGTCATCTGCCATGGCTAACAGGCCAGGGACAGTAGCTTGTCTGTCCCAGGCCCATCTGGCCTTGGCCTCTGCTCATCTCAGGTATAGAACTCCCTGTTGGCTGAGCTGTGGCATCTGACGGGCCTGCCCTCCCCTGCTGATTCC